GTCCCCCCCCCCCACATACAGATGGTTGTTCATTTTGTACCTCCTCTTTGTCCCCTGGACCCCCCGGTACGCCTCCCCGGGGAGGCACCCCACCCAGCGCCAGTGACCACGGGCGTGCCGCCTACACACAACACATACACACAAATACACAATACAGTCTGTGGGCCGCTACTCTTCACAGTCCGCCCTGTCCCCCCCGCCCGCCCGCCCGCCCGCCCGCCCGCCCGCCCCCTTCTTCCCCCCTGGTTCGTGGGGCATCATCCCCGCCAGGGCGCGAAGCGCCATCCGTTGGCATTCCGCTGCCCGATCATCCCGCACCGTGATCCCCCGCGGTTCAATCCGCCAGCCCAGCCGGGGGGTGGGGCCAGGGTGGGGACGCATGGGGGTGTGAGCCGAAGAAAACAGGGGCAGACCACGTCGATGCTCGATCGACGTCGGCCAGCCGGACGTTCATGTCCCCCTTCCGCCGGCAGACGTGTGGATCCGATTGCACTGTCAAAACCCCGTCCGATGAGTGGTCCCCGCAGGGATAGGCGCCCCTGCGGCCCGAGGGCGCGACCGGGGTCCGGCTCCCCCCCCCCCCCCCCCCCCCGGCCCAGATGTGCTGTCGCTCGCGGGTCCCCCAGTCAAGTAACCCACAATTAGCGAGCTCCTCTGTTTCCCCGGGGTCTCGGGCATGGACCAACCCGCTGACACTTGTCATCCAATCTCGCCACTTGGGTGGGCGGATGAGTGGATGGCTGTGAAGACGGCCAGGAGGGGCAAGCGAGCACATGGAGAGAATGGAGGGACAGGGAGCCATAGAGAGGGACAGAGAGACGGAGGGCGGGAGGGTCACATTTCGCAAGTCCAGCCAGGACACCCAGCAGGTGTGTGGATGTCGAGGCATGTCCGAGCGGACAGGGATCTACTCATCGGCCACCATCGAGAGAGACCCGAGGGTCCGCCCCCTCCTGAGGCAATCTTGATCATTTTTCTCCGCCCCTGCCCAGTTCCCCTTCCACCTTTCCTTCATCCGCTGCTGAATCGCGTCCTCATCAAGCAATCCCCGCCCCTCCACCCTCGGCATCACCCCCTTGTTTTGCCGACCAACAGCCATGCTGAGTCTTGCCCGCCTCCAGGCACGTCCTGGACGCGCCACAGGGTCGACTTGCGCTCGGGCCCTTTTCGCCTCCGGGACAGGTCCGAATCGGACGGATGGTACGCCCAGACGCGTGCTTGAATATCAGGGCTCCTCTCCCCCCCTCCCTCGCTTCCTCTCTCTCTTTCCCCCTCTTCCTGTTTCTCTTCCTCTTTATCCCTCCCTCTCCGCCTCTCGCGCCCATTCCAGCTGACTAACTGCCGCCGCCTGTTCGCAGAGCCCCCCGCCGATGCCATGGAGACCCGCTCCGGTCGCTTCAAGCGCCGAAAGGGGGCTCTCCGCAACCCGCTTGTTGGCAAGAAAGGCTACCGCAACACGCCCCCCGCCCCGCGCCCAGCCTTCCACAGGCGCTGCGATGGCGCCGATACCCCGAACATGGTGGCCCCCGCGCGTCCGACGAATGGCTGGTCCTTGGCGGATTTTCGCACTTTCCGCGGGGCTCTTCGCCTACACTTGCACTTCCCCCTTGACCGCCGGGGTCTTCATCTGGCGCCCTGGCGCCAGCCCGGCACACGGTCTCTGTTCTCCTACCAGTCGCTCCCCGTGGAGAGTCGCCCTCACTGCCCCCCGGGGCCGATGGTCGCCCCTGTGGGCACACTCAGCCGGCCCCCAACACGGCCGCTGCTTCTCCAAGGTATCCAGGGCATCCGCGGGGAATCCACCCCTCGAGGAGCCGCGTCCTTTACCATCCGGCACTACTCCTCCTCCTTCCATTCCTCTTTGGGGTCCTTCGCCTCCCGGGAGTTTCTCTCCGCCGATGAGCAGCTCCTTCGGAAGATGGTTCTGAAGAATCCACGCGAGGTACGGCATCACCGCCAGCTCCCCCGGCCCCTGGGCTCCCGGGGTCCAATGGCCGCTGTCCCGGGCCGCCATTCAACACTCGCTGATCTCTAACCCCCGCCCCCCCCCCCCTCCCCCCTCCTCCTTTCCTGGCATTGCTTGGCCTGGACAGCTCCACACGGTCCTTGATGAGTTTGTCATCGGGCAAGAAAAGGCCAAGCGCGTCCTCAGTGTGGCGGTGTATAACCATTACACGCGCGTGCGCCGGTCGATTGGCATGGCTGCCAGCAATCGCCGAGCCGACCGGCTTGACCCATTGGCCGACCTCACTCGGCCCGGCGCGGGCGCCGAAACACACGCCGAGTCTCGCCCCGGACGTCGAGCCACCTCCAGTCAGAGCTTCGTCTACTCGGCCAAAGGCCCAGCCGATGCGGGCCTCACCGCACCCGGCACCGAGTCCAGTGACAAGGCACCAGCGGCCTCGGCCGGAGGTCCAAGCCCGAATCCCCCAATCGGCGGATTGGAGTTCCAGTCAACGCTCGCGTCGCTGGCTTCCGCTGGCCAGGCCACCCTGATGGGCGCGCTGGCCCGGTCGAAGCTCGGCCTAAAAACCGCAGATCGTGATGCTCGCCCGGCCACCGGCAATGATGACCCTTCGGCGGAGTCTGGGACTTCGGGCGAGATGGCCACCAGCACCCCCGCCAATGTCACCCCCGCCAGCTCGACCCAAGCCCCATCCTCGGATGCTTCGCGGCTCCGTGGCTCGCCTGGTCGTGCCTCCGGACCCCAGCAGCACCCACACTCAACGGATGAGGAGGCCGGCGGGGCACGGCCCTTCGACGGGCCGGGCTTCATTCACCCCCGTCACGGACGCCTATCCATGCGCGATTCCATCTTCGACTATACAGGCTCGGCCTCGACCTTCAGCGTGTCGGATGTGTGGGATCGGTCGCGAGCTGGTCTGCCACATGTTGGCCCCGGCGAGTGGAATCGCCCTCCCGCCAGTCGGCGCCCGGAGGTCGAGGATGACGCCGAAAGTGGGGGCGGCGGCTCCACCCAGCAAGCCGAGCACCTGACCATCGGGGAGATTGTCCCCGACAAGTCGAATGTCCTGCTGCTCGGCCCCACCGGCACGGGGAAGACCCTGCTCGTCAAGGCTCTCGCCAAGCACCTGGGCGTGCCGTTTGCCAGCTGCGACGCAACCACCCTCACGCAGACCGGCTACGTGGGTGATGATGTGGACACGGTTCTCTTCCGGTTGCTTCAGGCTGCCAATTTCGATCATCGCGTGGCTCAATACGGTATGTTTCTGGGGAACCGCTGCAAATGCGGCTAATGCCGGGGCGTGAAGTGGACGACGAGTCGGATGGGCCGAGGGGAGGGGGAGGGGGGGGGGGGGGGGGGGAGAGGGACTGGGAGCCTGGGAACAGATCAAGGGGAGGACGACACAGGAAGGCAACCACCCAACCCCAGCGAAGACCCAGTGACTGACTCTTCGTCATGGCCACTTCCTTGGGTCTGCCTCCTTCTCTGCGGGTGACCGTGGGGGAACGGGACACCCATTCCATCCGAGACAGGGATTGTCTTTATCGACGAGGTGGACAAGCTCCGGCGCCGGTCGACCAGTGCCAGCATCCGTGAATTGGATGTCGGCGGCGAGGCCGTCCAACAGGGGCTCCTTCGGATGCTGGAGGGTGAGAAAATCAATGTCACCGACCGCCGACCCCCGAGCATGGCCCCTGGTGGCGGCAAGCGCGAGGGGCTGACCCTTGATACCCGGCACATTCTGTTTGTGCTGGCTGGCGCCTTCGAGGGAATTGATGACTTTGTGTGGAACCGACTGAACTTCAAGGCACGAAATGCATCCACCCACGCGAGGGTCCTTCGTCGTTGTGCTCTTCCTGGCTGGGTTTCGCTCTCCTGCGCCCCTTGCCGAGCCGTTGGCCCAGACACTAACACGATGAAGCACTTGCAGAAATCCAAGATCGGCTTCGGGGCTCCCGTCAACAAAGATGACCTCCTCCGGGCGGCTCCTGCCGCGGCCAAGAGCTCTGACGATCAGGTGGACCGGTCGGTGACTCCGGCGGCGGCGGCGGCGGCGGCGGCTGCCGCTGCCATGGCTGCCGCAGTCGGCACCGATTGTGACATCGGCTCGGGCATGCGTGAGGCCGTGCTAAACAGCCAATTCCACGCGACGACTGCCGCCGGAGCACCGTCTCCTGGACCTTCGGCCCTGTCCATGATGCTGGCAAGCACAGTCGAGGTCCCCCCTCGGCGGGGCTCCGGGGCCGTGCGGCGAGACCTCCTGCAGGAGCTCGGCGAGGGTGCCCGGCCCGGCTGGCGTCCGCCCCTCTGGGCAAGCACCAAAGCCGACGAGGAGCATCTTGCCTGGAATCGTTTGCTCCAAGAGCAACAGCAGCAGCAGCAGCAGCAGCAAGCCAGCACAGGTAGCCCTCGTGCTTCCTCGCCGCGTTCTCGCGACATGCCACTAGCTGAGCTTCTCGGCCGCCGGCAGTCGCCGGATTGGACCACGGCCACGCAAGTGCAGTTTACGAACACGGCCACTCCACAGGCCACCCCTCGGGACGCGTCGACCCCGGGAGTTGGCTCGGCGGTATTTGCTCCCGCTGGGACTGGGGCCTCCTCTGCTGGAACTTCTACCGCCACCGCCACCGCCACCACCACCACCACCTCGGCTGCCGTTGCACCGGTGTCCCTCGAGCCCACACCCGAGGATTTGATTGCATATGGCCTGATCCCGGAGCTGGTTGGCCGTCTGCCAGTCTTGGCCCAAACCATGAATCTCCCACCAGAGCTCCTGGCCCGGGTCTTGAGTGAGCCCAAGGGCTGCCTCATCGAGCAGTACAAGGCCATTTTCCAAGCGAGCGATGTGCGTGTGTCACTAGTCTCTAGATGGCCTTCTCCATGGATGTGTCCTTTCGCGCGCACGCACACACACGCGCACACACGCAGGCAACTTACACCCCCGTCATGCTTTCATCCGGCTCCTATGTTCATGGCACATAGATCGATCTTCAGTTCGAGGAGGGCGCCTTTCTGGCGATTGGTCGTCTGGCCGCCGAAAGGCGGACCGGCGCACGCGGCCTTCGAGCCATTCTGGTACGTTGACAGCTGCGAACGCAGTCAGAGACAGTAAGTGGATGAGAAGTTGATACTGACTAAGAGCATACCCACACACACTCACACACATATACGCCAGGAAAATCTCCTGCTGGACGCCATGTACTCAGCCCCAGGGGCCGGAGTGGCGCGAGTGATTGTCACCGTGGCATCCGTCACTGGAGCAGAACCAGTGAAGATTCTCCAGGCGGAGGAATAATGGATAACATGCTTATCCTCCACCCATCCCACATATACATGTACATGTATATCCCCAAACCAACACGCACACGCACACACACACACACACACACATATATATATATATACAGCGCCTTGCCGCCGGTGAGAAGCTCCCCTTCGATGAGATTACCCTCTGCAACATTGGCAACCCCCAGCAGCTGGGCCAGAAGCCGATTACCTTCTTCCGCCAGGTGTCCGCCCTGGTCGATTGCCCGTCCCTGCTGGCGGTGGCCGACTCCCAGGGCCCCGATGGTGAGGCCCTGCGCCTGCTCTTCCCGGCGGATGTCATCGCCCGTGCCCAGAAGCTGGCCAAGGCCGTCGGCAGCACCGGGTCTTACAGCCATTCGCAGGGTGTTCCGTGCGTGCGCCAGAACGTCGCG